CCCTCAAACATGCACTGAGGTCAAAAGTTCAAAGGTAAATGGCTGAAAGCAGGTGCCATGTAGAATCATCATACTGACATATGTTACTCTCCAGGTTGAGACCTTTCCAATGATGTATTTGGTTTAGCTCTAGGACAAAATTTTGATTTTTTCATTTTTGGACACAAGCCATGCCAGGTGTAGTTTCAGAAAGCACTTTGAAGGCCCAGTGTATCAAATGATTTTTGTTTGTTTCTTTGCTTGTTTGTTTCTTTTTTTACTGTAGATAGTTACTAAAATGAGTCATCCTCAGACAATACAATACTACTAAAAAGTAAACCAATAATAACAATAATGAAATAAGCAAAAATAATATTAAAATTATATTGAAATTTTAAAATCTATTTACAAAGTGGAATGGTAGCCTAATAGATAACTTAGATACAATTTATTATTGTTTAGATACTATTTAGCGTATTATTGTATTTACTTTTAGCATGTTCTACTTTTATGTACTGTGGGCTATATGTTTTAATTTATTTAATAACAAATTTATTTTATGTTCGGCACATGCTCCTCAGTGGGAGCGTGTGCGCCGGGGGGGGGGTGCTGGTTCTGTGGCACTGGCTTGGGGTCCACTCTCCCTGGTGGAGTGGAGGGTGGCCAGGTTGCCGTGGTGGCGGCCTCCCGATGCGGACAGCTCCATGTGATGGTGTTTCCTCTCTGGTTCTTCCGTGCTCAGCCGTATTTTTTTCTTCTTATTTATTTATTTATTAGTGGCGTTTGGATTCGGTTACGGCAGACGGACGGCAATCTGAAATGGAATGAAGCACACAGATGGCAGACAGCAGCTACAAAACAGTAGTGGAACGCGCCCCATCCGCCCACAGCACAATGCTCTTAAAGCCCTACGCTATCTGCTGGCAAAATACATTTATTTTATTTTATGGCCTTGACATTAACCTGTCATATTGTTGAGTTATCAAGGACACTTCCGTGTTTTTGTGTGTATACAGGAATGTTAAAGATATCATTGAGGAAAACGAGGTTGACCGTGACGTTATCCACCTTATTTTTCACGGAAACACGGAGGCAAAACAGAACGCAGCCAGCTTCCGTTTTTTTGTGCGACACTTCCAGTCCAGCACTCTTACCACTGTGTAAATGGGAATCGCCTTGTTGTTTACCTTGCTGAGTTTAGCTATATATATGTATATATCACATTTTTCACGTCACTATATCACCGTTTAGACTAATCTGATGTTTGTAAAGTCTATAAACACAATGACTGAACAAACATTAGTATTTTCTCTGTGTGTAATTAATAACATGGTTATCGTAGATTAGCTGGGCTAACCGTTAGCTGTTAGCCGTTAGCCGTGTCTGTAATAACTCACTAAACTCACAAAGTGGCCCGTGAAAAAAATATTTTCTCCAGCGGATGTCTTAGTTACAACATGATTGAGCTAACTGGAGTAGTTTCATGTCGTATCCGACAACGGGAGGCTTTTAACGGATGACGATCCTGATGTTAGCTTTGCTGCTAGTGTTAACGTTAGCTGTCCCTGTCAGCTGCAGCCACTGATGCTTTCTAGACATCGTGATTTCCCAAAACTGAATAAATACCACACATAGCAACACAAAACTGCTTTGCTAGCTCAATCATGTTGTAACGGCTGGATGGTTGATGCGTACATGCTGATTCAGGTGCTATCAGAGCCGATCCGCGCATCACTATGGCTTAATGATCAACTCAGTCAATTAAAACAACCCGTCCTGTGTTAGGAGTGTATGTCGCTGACAGAAAGAAAGAAAGAAAAGGGAAAAAAAGATAGAAGAGCAGCGTACACCTCACATATTTATTTCTCACAGTTGCGCACACGTGTGGCTGGCATGCAGAAGCACCGTCTGTGTGTCTGTGTGTCAAGGGTGCGAGCCGCAGCTTCAGCTGCTCAGGTAGAGAGGCTGTGTAGCCCGGTGTGTTTTTTCGCTGATTCGGTTCTGCAGGTTCTCTGCTGGTACACTGGAGACAGGGATCAAGCAGTTTGTCTCACTCGGGATAGATTGTGCTTTTTTGGTTCATAGTTTATGATTGACGTGCGATTTATTCGCGTTTAGAGGGAATAAATTTCCGTTATAACGGAAACATGGGCACAGTTATCTAATGTTATACAAAATACACAGACTAACTAACTAACTAACTAACTAACTGATTGACTAACATAACAACTGAAAATTGAAAAAAAATTAGCTTGCACCGTTAGCTCCGGTAAGGGAAAGCATGAGGGAAAGCGGCTGACCGGAAGTCACGCACAAAGAAACAGAAGTTGATCACTATTTACTTCCGTGTTTGAAAATAAGGTGGATTGAATCAGGGAATCCGTATGGACACCACGAAAAAGTATCCTAATTGACTTACAATTGGCATTGTTTCCGTGGTACTGGCACGTAATTTTAGCTCATTACGTGCTGCCACCACAGAATGCGTTGTTAAGAGGTCATGGTCATTTCATGTATTTCTGTGAGATCAGGTTGTTTCACCTTGTGAGTGAGTGAGTGTGTGTGTGTCATCGTGGCAAAGTGTGGTCCACGGCTGCCTTTTACACACAGAACACACATAACTATTATGCCATGTCTTTGTGGGACTGTCCAGTGATTTCAGGCTTTTAAATTCCTGTATAGTAACTAATGCCGAAAACTAAGTAGTGAACCAACTGCATGTAGGTGCAGGGTGGCAACACGTCTCCCTGCTCCAGCTGCAGGTAGCTCGTACGGATCGATGTTATTTATTTCTTGGATCTTCTCCAAATACCTCAGTTTGAATCATGATAACATGGCAAAAAAGTCACACAAAGCACGGTAAATGAGATGGAGTTTAATTACACTGGGGTAGCCTAATTAACAGGAAACACAGGGACAAGTAGGTTTTGAAAGATAAAAAGAGAGCATCCTCTTGGCTTTTCACATGTAATATTATTTTAAAAAATATGGGTTGCATACAGTAGTTGTAATTCGACCTAGTCATAAAATGCTACTAGGCTAAATAGTGGCTCCATGGAGCCATGGACCAGCTGATAAGCCGTCTTTCCCAAATCTGCAGATATTACAGTATTTTGGTGATAATCACTGCTCCTCCCCGTGGACAAATGAAGCATTGCAACTGGTTTTCACACAGGTCTCTAGGGGCGTTACAAGTCAGGGCTGCATTTCCTACGTCATCACGGGGGATTAAATTAACTCCACGGAGCAGGTGGCAGGCTTGCACGGAGCCGTCATGGATCTGCCACAGACCTGCTGCGGACCTGCCGAGGTTCAGTCATGGAAACGGGGGAACTTTTGAGTCGCTCCTACTGTAGATAGATAGATACATAGATAGATAGATAGATAGATAGATAGATAGACCACTCTTAAAATAGATTGCTCATCCATGAGTGTGTTACATTATCATGCACAGGCTTACAGTGGAGTAAGACAGTGATGCTGCATTATTCCAAAATATTTGAATCTGTGCATATAAGACACACTCTAAGCATTGATTAGTTGAATAGATTGTTGCAATATAGGACTAAACGTGTGCATTTAGTATGATATTTGTCTGGATAATATTACATAGTCAGTTGGCTCAGGCCATATGTAAGCTAATAATGAGATGTGTCAACACAAAAATTACTGTCTATGTTGAAAGTATCTGCTGGAGTATTGTGAAATGATCATAGCAGTATTTGTGATGAACTGATAATTCCTCTGCAGCTTCATGTACTAAAGTCTGGTGGAATTAATCAGCAATTTTACAGAGGAAGCTCATCAGTTTAAATTGTGATGGTGGGTTGGGTTGTGTGGCTGCTTTCTTTGCAGATACTGAAGGTGGGGGCATGGAAGAGAGTCATCAGCAGAATGGCAACACCTAAAATTCATCAGCAACAATATACTACAGTGGGGTATATTAAAGGATCTTGTGTGCCATAGAGCTCCATTGTTGTTAAAATCACATGAGCCCCACTGTTGATATACCTTCATTACCATAAGCGCACACACACACACACACACACACACACACACACACTGTAGTTTATTTTGACTCAATCCCACATACACTTTCCTGCAGCTGTGGATTACTTTAGCTGAAAATAGTCCCAAACAAATGCAGTATTTCCTGATTAAGTAATGGCTGACAAAAACTACAGTGCCCAGCTGTTTCAGAAAATAACTGAAAGTTTGGAAAGTCTTCAGAAGGAGCGAATGGGCTTGGAGCTGAGAGCCACAGACGGTATTGAGACGATTTGGCACATTGTTGGTTTTCGAAAAATGCTAATTGCTTTTTACAGAAGTGCAATCAAAAAACATGTATTTTAGGTTGGCAGAATGGCCTTATTACCCCAAATGTCATGGGGTTGTCAAGCTATTGAAGTGAGGCTAATGACTCATTAGTAACACCCACGGTTAACACCCAGTTACATCTGGCCCGATAAAATATATGCTCTTTAAATGTCATATTGCAGAACAGTTATATGGATATAAAGAAATGAAGTGACGTAAAATCTAAGAACTGCTCATATAATTAAGTTGTGTTTAAAAAAGCCATCCAAAAGGTGAAATGAATTAGCAAATTACCATTTGCTTTACTGAGACTTAACTGCGTGTTCAACACCTGGCGCATGCATTTTCCTTTATGATGTACTGTAGGTGTGGTGCTGTTGTGGCCTTTTTAATCACCATGTGACAGGATAATTTATGAGACACATTCATGCAAACAGCTCCTTTTGTAGGTCACAGGTACAAACACACCAAACCCTGGTGCGCATGCCCACACACATACACACACACACACACACTGTAGATCAGATGTGTATAGGCTGTAATATTGATGGATAGGCCTGTTAAGCGGTATGAACACTAATAAGTACTTTCTTATTAGAGAAAGTACTTATTAGTCTTATGGTCTTAGAGTGACCATGAAATGGAAATTGTAAGTGTTTTCTCTGTGTGTTTATGTTTACTGTATGTGGCCTGTGTGTACTTACAGTGAACAGTTAGCTGGACGGAAGCATTGGTCATGCCCACTATGTTGGTGGCAGTGCAGGTTAGCAGGAAGTTGTTGTCGTCTCTGCTCACATTGACCAAAGTTATGTTGATAGAATGAATGGTGTTGTTGTCGTAGACTCTGGCCTGGAGGGACAGCAGTATAAAATAAGGGAACTGGCATGAGCAAATAGTAGTTGAACATGTCAGGCAGGAGCATGCATGGTGGGAGCACACAGGTTCATCAATCTTGAAATTAAAAGGAAGAAGAGTAAATTTAGTTAGCTAACTAGCCAGCAACTTATTCAGCACAGGTAATAATATCAATATCAGCATTATGCTGCATTCACGCAAAGTTGGCTGAATGGGAAGAGGATGTAATCTTTACATTATTCTGACTGGAAGTGTTAATGCATGGTTACCCCCACTGCTATCCTGGTACTCACAACATTTAAATTGCTACTTTTATAGTGCTACATATGGAGCAGTGTAGAAACCTACAGTGGCAGAGATGGTTTTAACAAACTGCCTATCCAAAATGCTTTGCAAATTCAAGAAAGAAAGAAAGAAAGAAAGCACAGTAATAGAAAACACAAATGCAAAAGCAACAATGGAACGTGGTGAAGAGGGAGCTGAAGCAGAAGGCAAAGCTCTCAATGTACCAGTCCATCTATGTCCAAAGGCTCGCCTGTGGTCATGAGATTTGAGTAGTGACTGAAAGAATGAGATCTTGGACACAAAGGGCCAAAAATGAGTTTCCTCCATAGGGTGGTTGGGCTCAGCCTTAGAGATAGGGTAAGAAAGATCTGGAGGGAGCTCAGAGTAGAGCTGCTGCTCCTTTGCATCAAAAGGGGCCAGTTGAGGTGGTTCAGGCATTTAATCAGGATGCCTTCTGGGTGCCTCCTGTTTGAGGTTTTCAGGTAGGAGGTCTTTGGATGGATCCAGAACTGGAGGGATTATATATCTTATCTTGCCTGGGAATGCCTATGCTGAGTACCTTGCTCAGCCTGCTGCCCCCCCACCCCCACCCCCCCCTCGACGGATGGATGGATGGATGGATGGATGATGGCATTAAACCTCAATGAAACGGTTGACTATTATTTATATATTGTAAATGACTTATTTATATACATATATATATATATATATATATATATGTATGTATGTGTGTGTGTGTGTGTATACATACATACACATACGTATACATATGTATCTATAAACATATATAGTAGTCCATACCCATTGAGTACAGCATACCATACCATGACTTAGTCATACCAAAAATTAGAAAAGAAATAGAAAAAAAAAAAAAAAAGCATTCAGTCACAGGGGGAGCCACATGTGATCGGTCGCATTTTAGCCATTTTTAAGCATTTTTCTGTTGTTATAGTGCCACCCAGTTGCCAATTAGAATTACATTTCTCCAGTCACCTTAGGGCATCCTGTTCTACATATCTACCAAGTTTAGTAAAAATTGATATGGCAGTTAGGCCTTGATAAGAAATTAGCTCTCTAGCACCCCCATTTTGTCTGATCGGATCAATAATGGAGGGGTCCCCTGAGATTATGTGTGGTCATGTGCTACAAAGTTGTGTGGTGATTGGTGAAACCCTTGAGATGTTATACACCTTTATGTGATGACCCATGCCCTCCACAATATTCATTGCCTTATAGAAGCTCAGTTTTAGTAAGTTTTCCAACTTTTGCCAAGAGGGAACTAGACCCTAGATTATGTTCACCGAGTTTCATGCAGATCGGTCAAAAAGAAGAGATCAATTTGAAGTGATTTTCAAAAAATTCAAAATGGCGGAAAATCTATATATCCGAAAGTTATGGGTGCTTGAGGCAAAGAGATGAGGCATGAGATAAGCCCATTCAAAGTTTGCAATTTCAATCGGTTGCTATAGTGCCCCCCTTTGGCCAACTGATGTAATATTGCTTCATTCGCATCCTCCCATTACCCTCTACCACCGTGCCAAATTTCACATGGATTTAGCAAGTCAGTGAGGAGAAAAACGTGGAAAAGACACACACACACACACACACACACACACACCCACAGACAGACAGAGTTTTCGTCATTATATATTAAGATATTAGCCTGGTTCCAGACCATAGACCCCGCCCACTCAACTGAGAAGGCTTGCATCTCTGGTCTGGCATACTGCAATGAATTTGCGATATATCTCGTCCAAACGATGGACGGACCAATGAACGCCGGGGGTGGGGGCGGGTCTAGTGATTAGCCAATCAGCGCCACACTGATGTCAAGCTGTACGCCGGTGGGTAACTGGTGAGGATAGTAACAATGGTGACCGCTACAGATCCTACAGACCACATTAACGATGCTATTGAGGTATTTTGCCACTACTTGCATTAATGGAGGACCAAATTAAGGAAGCTGCTAAACTGGATTTAACGGTGATGCAACTGGGCGTGCACGACGATGGAGCAATGCTCGCTTGTTTTCGGCACCCCCGAGGCATGGATACTAATGACGTCAGATTCTGGGTGAGTCGTTGTTCTCTACTGATTGGTTAGGGAAAAATCAAATTCCCTCCCCCTTGTAAATCGCCTTCAATGGAGGCGATGTCAGACTGAAGGTTCTGAGAGCTTCAGTCTGACACTCAGGCTAGT